TTATTTGACGAATAATTTCTTTGGATACTAGATATTGCCAAGACATGAAAGTTATCGGCCCGATAAACTTTACTAAAGATGAATAAACCGGTCCTTAGTTAAATTTCATGAATTTCTTCGTAACTTTTACTACAATTTTTCATTTTTGTTTATAAAAAACACTTTAAAAAACTAAACAAAAATTATAGAATACGTATACTGAAAATGACAATTCAAACATCAAATAAATTTTTAATAGATCTAAGTTTCATGGCAACCTTTAAGGATATATTAATTAAGGGAACATAAATGTATACGTCAAAGGTTAGATTAAAAGTTTGAACCTTTATTGCAACAAAACAGTAAAATATATAAAAAAATTGTAAAAACCTTTTTTTTAGTTATGCAAATATTAAATATTTAAATTAAATCGCTAGTTTTAATTGGATAATTGAAAGAGTGCATAATATTTTTAATAAACAGCAAATTAAACCAATTCAAACCGTCAAATTTTTTTTATTTTGCTCTTAGAATTTTAGTTATGACCTAATTAACAAGAATATAAAAAAAATCAGGTTTCACAGAAAGTCCAAAAATCACCTCTCAGAACAGCACCGTGTAATAGGAATGACCAATAAATATGACAATCGTAAATATGAAAAAAAATATTGTTATTTGCAAATAGAGAGTTTTGAAAAGAAAAAGGTAAACACAGTTAAGTTAAACGTTAAAAAACCCAACATTAAAACATTAACATTAAAAAGATTTTTGGAAAACAAAAACTAAAATTAGTATGTGTTGTTTTCGTTTTGACACACGTCTTGATCATCTTTACTTTTAGCGGGTTGATCTTGAATAATTTTGTAAAAGGCTAATTCTGGTAGTTTTATCCAATCTTCGCCATAATGTTTAATAATGTTTAACCAGTAAACCAATAATGGAAGTTTGATCTCCTTTAAGTTTCTTGCTTAGCGGCACATTAACTGGCTAAATTGATGTAAAGAAAGAGTTTTGCAAATAACCGATAATTCTTTAACTGATTCATAGTCACTTACAATATTTAAATATTGTATGGACTTGTACTTATGATAAAAATTTAAAACGCTTAAAAGTATTGCAAAACAAAGCAATTAAAAATATTTATTCTCTTAAAAGTCGCTATCCAACAGCTGATCTTTATAAGGATTGCAATATTAGGTCATTAAAAAGTATATATGCATATAAAGTAAATATTTTTATAAATCAAGTTTTAAACGGATCACGCCACTCATGTATTGAATTCTCTTATAGAAGAGATGTGCATAATTATGCAACCAGAATAATAATAATAATAATAATCGTCTTTATTTAAAGTAAAATTATTACAATAATATTACAATATATATTGTAAGTAGGCGGCACATACGGCGAAGTTTAGCCTAAGGCTACTCTTACACTTAACCGTGTGTCAGTGAAAATGTGGATTTACCTCGAGTATTTTCAGAATTCGGTAAAAACTCTATACTGTTTAGGGGAGCATCTGTTTATAACAAATTACCAAACAATATAAAAGAACTTAAAGGATTTAAATTTAAAAAGCATATGTCGTCTTGTGTGGCGAATTTTATTGAATAAACAATGATATATCGTAGTATTTTTTCTTTTTTCTGTGAAATTATATTATAATGATATGTTCCTATTTAGAATTAAAAATGTATTAATAAAATAAAATTAATTTAGATTTAAAAAATGTATTAAGAATTAAAAAATATATATTAAATTGTATGATTAGAGGTGTCCCTCTATAAACTGTATGTTTCTTGGGATGAAAATAAAGTATTTTATTATTATTATTATTATTATAATATAGCAAAGAAGTAGTTTTTATACGTTTTAAAGGTTGCATTACATTCCATATCAAAAATATATTAAAATTAGCGAAAAAGTGAATTTTGATTATTTTGTTGATTAGAGACTTTTGCAAATAATGACCTCATATATGGATAGCGTTTATCGAAAAGGAACCAAGCGCCAAAAACTTTTTCTGGGATAAACACAACTGGCATAAGCTACCAACTTAATAAAAAACACGAGTCCAAATAAAAAAAAATGTACATTATCCGTAAAACTTTGTAAATTTTCATAAAAATTGACTTCTGCATTTTTTTCGTATTACCCTTTAAATAAAAATGCAAAAGACATTTTTTCTGAAAATTTCCCAATTTTTCTGTTTATTTTTTCCTGAAAAAAAAAACGTGATATTTAAAAAAAATTTTTACTAACATTGAGTACGCCCACCTATATTACCTAATTTGGGGCTGCTGATTTCAAAAATGCCACTCGTTTTGCTCCAGGACGTCTAGGATTCGAAATAATTGCGTAATAAAATGCTCTGCCCAATTATCTCAAAATGTAAGTTTTTTTGTTAATATGTATCCATCATTTTTTTAAGCAGAGAAGTGCTTTATTAAATACCAAAACTAAAATTATAATGTTTTTTTGGTAAAAAGTATCATTTTTTTAAATTTTTATGTCGTTTTTTTAATTACTAATTAAATTGAAAAGGCCACAAAGTAAATGGGTTTCGGTATAAGCATTACTCTTCGACTATTATTTGATTTGTTTTTGTTCACATCATGCCTAAAGTACCCTAAAATTTATTCTTGAATCCTATTTATTAAGTCTTATCAAAATTTAATGTCGAATTAAAGTATAAAGGCGCCTTTATCTACTTTATCGTTCAAGCACACTAAAGTGTATCTATTAATTATTGACATTTAAAATTTAAACTTTAAATTGTATTTTTACTTGAAAGTGATTTTAAGAACCAAAAATGAAAATAGAGCAGGAAATGGAAGTGGCAGAGAAAGAGAAAGGAGACGAACATTTATGTCGTCGTTGTATATTTGTTTTGTTTTTGTTGCGGTACCTTTACGCCCAAGAAAAACCAACGCAATATTTCATTACCAAATTTTATGAGATATACCTAATACTTTAATTTTGCAGGAATATTATATGGACCTGATTTACGACGTTTAATGAAAGATCAAGCATTCAAAAATGCTCTCAAAGTTGACGAGCTTGTCGCATATGGCAGTGTTAAAGCTGTAATTGCAAATGTTCTTGATTCATATCCAGCCTAAAATTCATTAAAAAATGCTTTCGGTTTTGCAAAGAATTAGCGTTAATATGTCATTTAAAATACATTTTCTTTTTTTTTCATCCTGATAAATTTGCCGAACTGATGAACATGGAGAACGATTTCACCAAGTAACTGCAAATCTAGAGGATTGGTAGATATCTATGGGTATAGCGGAAAGAAGTTGGATTCATGGCTAGGAGACATTTTCTGGAACTTTCAGCAAAATATGTACGACGAGGATGATGAGGATTAAGCACAATAATACTATAATCCAATTCGATATTTGATACGATTTAATAAATTTAAGGTAGAAAAAAGCAAAATTATGCAATGCATTAAATTTTGAGGGCTTAATTTGGATATAAAATACTTAAACCTGGTTACCTTTTTGGCCTTTTCAATTTAATAATTAAAATAAACGACAAAAAATGTAAAGTAATCGTTGTTTTTTTACAAAAGATACATTAAAATTTTAGTTTTAGTATTTAAAATGTCATATTGTTAAGATAAATATGATCTATTTGCCGTATACCAATTACTTTAGTACATTCAAGATAAGTTTAAGCCAAAATAATTTAATAAATGATTAAAATACTAACAAAAAAAACTTACATTTTGAGGTGATTGAGCAGAGCACTTTATTACGAAATTATTTTAAATCCTAGACGTCCTAGAGAAAAACGAATGACATTTTTGAAATCAGCGGCCCAAAATTAGTTAAACTAAGCTGGAGTACTTAATGTTAGGGAAAAAAGTTTGTAAAACTATCACTATACAAGGTGTCCCTAAACTTAGTGGCATAAATTTAGGAGCAGATTAAGTAAGTCAAAATAAGACGAAAATCTAAATAAATATTTTTCCTAATTACGTATGTTTAAAAGTTACAGGGTGATAAAGTGTTACTTATCATATCAGTTTTTTTAATATAACTTCTACTATGGTAGACTTGGAAAGGTGATATTTTGCGAACAGTCACTTACTACCAAAACACATATTCACACATGATTACAATTGTTTGAGTGAACACAGCTACGACACTAGTGTCGTAGAAACGGGGGTTGCTTTAAGCTTATTGTCCCATACAAACTTTGAGGTTAGGTTTTTGTAACATTTGATGCAATTTATCGATTAAACAGTTCGGCTACCATTAAAAAGGTATACCTCTCAAACTTCGATAAAATAAACCGTTTCCGAGATATTTGAGATTACAATAATTGTTTTATCGCATTATTTAAAAGGATTAAAAGGTATATGATAACAAATTTTATTTTTTAATTGAAAAAACTAAAAAGGGCATTCCATGAGCCTCGGGACTTTTTGCCCTGACCGTCACATTAAAAAAAATGTAGTTTTTTCAATTTTTTTATCATATAACTTTTAGTCCTTTAATGCGATATAACAATTATTGTAATCTCAAATATCTCGGAAACGGTTTATTTTATCGAAGTTTGAGAGGTACACCTTTTTAATGGTAGCCGAACTGTTTAATCGATAAATTGCATCAAATGTTACAAAAACCTAACCTCAAAGTTTGTATGGGACAATAAGATTAAGCAACCCCTGTTTCTATGACACTGTGTTCACTCAAACAATTGTAATTATGTGTGAATATGTGTTTTGGTAGTAAGTGACTGTTCGCAAAATATATCACCTTTCCAAGTCTACCATAGTAGAAGTTATATTAAAAAAACTGATATGATAAGTAACACTTTATCACCCTGTAATACAGGGCCTGTATCTTTTAAACATACGTAAATAGGAAAAATATTTATTTAGATTTTCGTCTTATTTTGACTTGCTTAATCTGCCCCTAAATTTATGCCACTAAGTTTAGGGACACCTTGTATATTAAAACAAGAGATGAAGTTTGTAGACCACAAAGCAAATATCTGACTCTAACCTGGTTTTTCCTCGCTGGGCAGCGGAAACAGGCAATCGGGCAGCGGCTCCTCGGCGTCCTTCAGGTTGGCGTAGCTGCCGCGATGGCTGCCGACTTCGGCCGACACCCTCCGACGCCGGTCGCCGCCGCCTTCGACCGTCTCCGTCGCTTCCGCGTCCGCCGTCGACAGCGACGCGTCGTGCGAGTCGCCGGTGCCGCCGCCGCCGCCGACGGCTGCCGTCGCCGATTTCACCGGCGTCGAGTTGGCCGAGGTGGAGATGGCCTCCTTGATCTCGTCCAGCTTCTTCGCCATCGACGTGGCGGCCGACTTGATCGAGCTCAGGCCGCCCTGGATCAGCTCGTTGGATTTTTTGCTCGTGTAACTGCTCGGTCTAAAGGAATGTACGTTAGGGTGGCTCGAATGTCCGCCTTTTTCGAAATTAATTTGGTAATAGCATTATTTTTCTTTGAGGTGAAAAAAAATTATAAGCAACAAAAAATGTTTTTATTTAGTCAACATCCTAGGCTTGCCAAATTCACTTAAAATTAAAATAAGAAAACAATATTATGTTTTTAATTTTGACATAAATATTGTAATTTCGCAGAAAATTGCGATTTTATGACAAAATGTTTTATTGTAAATTTTGTAAATTGTCTACAAAAAGGGTCCTTATCATGATCACATAAATATTGCCGTTTTAGAGATAATTGTGATTTTATCTTAAAACTGTCATTTTTTTAACAAAAGTTTTTTAGGTAATATTTGTTGAAAAATCTAATTGTCGTTTCAGAGATATTTCCGATGTCATTGTCATTGAAATGTTTTAACAAAACCTATTTTAATAGTTATTTATGTATCAAGGCAGTAAAGTAGTATTTTTTATAACGAATGTGGAAATTATGTAATGAACCACGTGAGTGATAAAAAATGACTTTAATGCCGAGGTGCATATTAAATTTTATCCGAAATCGCATTTAATAATACTAATAATTAATAATGATGATCAAATCAAATGTCATTTAATAATCAAATCAAATGTCATTTGAATGTATACTGTTTGTTGCGACGGTTATGATATATTTGCCCGCCGCGGCGATTTTTTAATTTAATTAATAAAATTAACTTATTATTTTTATTGAACAACTTTTTATGAAAGGGGCCAATCGACCTCCGCAACGGTGCTTTTAAAAAAAATATTATTTAGTTGCTGCTGAGGAGCAGTAGACACATCTTAAAATGTATAATGGGTTGCATACAATACTCGTATTAAATCAGCAGTAAAGTTATACTTTACTGCCTATTTATTTTACTTTACTGCCGATTGTTGACTACTTTACTGCCGATTTCGAAAAATAGTTATTTATGTATCAAGGCAGTAAAGTCGTATTTTTTATCACGAATGTGGAAAGGCGAAAGGGGAAAGCCGAGGCAAATAACCACGTGAGTGATAAAAAATTACTTTAATGCCGAGGTGTATATTAAATTTTATCCTAAATCGCATTTAATAATACTAATAATTAATATTGATGATCAAATCAAATATCATTTAATGATCAAATCAAATGTCATTTGAATGTGTTATTATTTTTATTAAACGACATTTTATGAAAGGGTCCAATCGACCTCCGCAACGGTGCTTTTTTTAAATATTATTTATTGCTGCTGAAGAGCAGTAGACACATCTTAAAATGTATAATGGGTTGCATACAATACTCGTATTAAATCGGCAGTAAAGTTCTATACATTATCGCATAAATATTGCATTTTTAGAGATAATTGCGATTTTATCTTAAAACAGTCATTTTTTTTAACAAAAGTGTTTTTAGTTGTCTACTTATTGTCATTGTAATTTTTAACAAAACTTTTTTAAAAGAATTTGTTTTATATAGTTTGTTAGAAAGTTTAATTGCCTACAAAAAAGTACTTATCAATTATTATGCAAACATTATTGAAGAAGAGATAATCTTACACTTATATCTTGGAATTGTAATATTTTCACAAAATTTACTTATTTGATTAGCAACAATTTTTTTCATACATAAATATTATAGTTTTAGAAATAATTGCCATCATAGATCATATAATTCCCATTTTATTTAAAAAATGTAATTTTTATTACATTAAATAAAGTAAAACAAATAATTCGTCTAATTTTGTCGATAACTACTATTCATCAATAAATTTCCCACTACTACCTACTCTCTAAAAATGAATGACGAAAAAAAAATCACTAATAGTTAGTCAAATTTACTGATTAAAATAGTCAAATTCAGTGGCGGCTCTACCTAAGGTTTGCAGGTTTGCACAACCCCCAAAAAAATCACCCAAGAAGGAAGAAATAAATTATGATTATAATAATATCATCAATATATATTTTTTTAATTTCTTAGTAACTTTCTTGTTATAACACTATAATATATAATAATTAAATTTCCCGCTTGGCGCTTCGTATCGGTTCATTGATCGATGCCCGAATACCACGCCATCTAGTGTATAATTGTTGAGGCTAACGGGTTTGTTTTAAGGTCGCAAACCATTACAGGCTTTCGAATGGGCGTGTTGGGACCACGTGATTAAATTACGTTCAATATCATTGGTTTAATTAGATCGAAAGTGGTTGCAGGACAAATGCAAACTTTAGTGTGAAATTCACACTGTGAATCGTGTTACGTATTTTGGCCGAGCCGCGTTAACATTTCCGCTGCGTTTTTATTATTGTTTGTATGTATTTCTTATAATAATAATGATTAATTCAGTTGAAAGTTTATTAGAAAATCCGTTCGGTAGTCGGACGATCGATATAAAGAGGCTTGGAAGACCTACAACAAATTTAAACATCGTTCAATGTGTGTCCAGTAAAAGCCGGTCTTTTACTAGAAAATTTAATTTAGATATACATATATAATACATATATATTATTATTTATATAAACAATATGTTAACTTAAAACTCTAATAGCAATTAATATTTTAAATTTAAATTTTATATTTTTATAATTTAAATTTTTATGACCCAATTTATTTTTTAAAGCGATCTTGGTTTTGCACATCTCTTGTAATATCTACACCTATACATATGGGTGCAACCCCAGATTTTTTAGGTCACGAGCCGCCACTGGTCAAATTAGTAGATATATATTTGTGTATAAATGACAATTTTAAAACTACAATATAATTGATATATAATCAATATAATCGATATATAATCAATATAATCGATAAGAACCATTTTGTGGAAAATTAAATTTAGTAACAAAATATATCCAAAAATTTATTTCTCGATTTTTATGTAAGAATTTCATATTCTCGCACGCAAAATCGTTGAAGAATGAAGCTCATTCTTAAACGATTTTTGGTAACATTTAGTTTTTTAGTATTGGTACCTCCAAAATGTCAAACTGTTTAATAACCTCAAATTCATTACTTTTAGGATTATTTATAATAGTTAGTTATCCTGCACTAGTGCAACCTGAACTACACTTTTATTGAAAATGAAGCCTTTATTATTGTTTGCTCCAACAATGCATTTTAATGCAAAATTTTAAGTTTAATGTGAAAAAGTGCAGTTCAGGTTGTACTTGAAAGGATAACAAATATTGACAAATAAATGAGCCAAACAGGTCAATCAAACTATATTTTATTGGAAATATTATATACCCACAGTACACAAAACACAAAACTACTATAAATTAATCACTAGCACAATTGTTATAAACTTTTATTGTAATGTTCGGTGTTGCTTGTAAAACCTCCTGTGACATTTTTTACTGTTAAAAGTAAACACAATTGTTCAAAAATATCAGAAAACATTAAAAAATAATACAATACTTACACAAAACCTTATTATCCAGTTGACAAATACAGACAGGTTATTAATAAATAGTAAATAAAGATAAATCTACCTGTCCATGCAACTGTCATTTTGTGTTGCCAACTGACATTTTGCGAGAAAAATCCCCCAACTAACAACGACCACAAAACAATTAAAAAAACCTAAATAAAAGTTAAAATCGAGAAAATAGTATAAATCACACGTTGCAGAAGGCTATTCTCGCACTCATTCGTTCGTCCACTCGCTCCTTCGTCGCTCGAGGCCAAATTTCGAATTCGTGCGAGAATATGTGGCCTTCTGCAACTTGTACTTTAATATACTATTTTAAAATTAATTTTGTCAAAAAAAATTCCAACAAATTAGGTACCTATATTAAAAAAAACCTTTTGACTTTTGTATGTATCAAACATTTTTGACGTAATTTTTACCATTAACATTGCCAGTTATTACCTATTTTAATTAAACTATTATTTTTATTAAACAGTTATTAATACTTTAAAATATTAAAATAACTTTAAAATATGATTATGTTATCAAAGAACATTTTTTATCATTTGATTTTTTTTTATTTCTATAATTGCAAAATATTATCACAAAGTATTAAAAATTCTTATACGGTACGGGAAATGTTATAGATATAAAAAATTGTATTTATTGAAATTCCCGTTAGAATTTCTTGCTTGAGAATCTACTGGCGTTAAATCAAAATTTACGACTTTAAATAGACTAACAATCGATATAAAAGCAGTTTTTCACAGTAAAATAGAACATAATGTTTTATGGGCACTGTACGAAAAATTTTAAACACTTTATCAGTTAAATCTAGTTAACTGCAAAATCAAACGGTCAGTGCAAGTGTTCATATAATCTTTTCAAATATTTAATACTTTTGTATTTTTGTATTGAGATAATAAAATAATTTTCACATTTGGTATTATTTTACAAGAAAGGCACTTTATTTTAACGATTGTATGACATTTGACAACTTTCAACTTTCAAAAATAAGTTAAAAAAAATACAATTTCAAGATAAAGTCACAATTATCTCTAAAACTGCAATATTCATGCGACAATTTACCAAGTTCATTTGGTGAGCCCAATTTTTTTTTTCACCAAATAATATTTTTGCTATTACCAAAACGTGAACAGTACTTACGACAGGGTGTTGATGGCGTTTTCGATTAACAATTGCGGTACTTTGAATTCAGCCTTGCGTAGGGACAGGCGTGTAGGTGTATAGCGGCTAAAATAAGACATCTATCTACTATTCGTGCAGTGCAAATGGTTCTAAATTTGAATTTTAATATGAAGTATACGAACAAATAATACAAAATAAACTATTTGGTTTGATTTATGATTATGCAAAAACACACTATTCAGTAGCCCAAAGTGGAAAATTTGGATTCATTGATACCTACTAGGGTTTAAAAGTGTCGAAAAAAAAAACGAAAAAATTGATTTTTTTTGGAAAAATTAACATTTGAAAAAAGTAACAATCAACTACTTAACATTATTTTAATTTAAAAATATCCTTACAGAAAAAAGTAAAATAAACGTAAACGTTAAATATACTGTCGGTGGGGTCTTTTTGCAAAAAGGAGTCAATGAAAAATATCAAATTACAAAATAATGAATTATTTATAAAGTTAAATTATAAAATTATAATATATATACCTATATATATATATTAGGGTGTGCCAAAAAAACTCGATATTTCTTTTTTCTTGCTCTCCACCCAAAATGTTGTAGAATATGTCCGAACAAATATCCTGTTAAAAGCGGAGCTCATAATTTCAATTTTAAGAGGTCCTCCATCGAATCTGAAGTTTTGCCGCTTAAATAGCACAGAAAACTGACTTTTTTACCTTATTTATTCTTGCAACCTAGGAAGAAATTTTTTGTTCATAAAATTCATGACCAAATCTTACAAAGCATTAAATTTGGACGAAAAAATCTTATTAAGCCAAATTTCTATTTTCATTATTTGATTTTTTACAGAGCTTTAAATTTAAAATTTTACGTTTTTTGCCTTTTTCAGCTCAACTATTGAAGTTAGACGAAAAAGTCAAATGGCAATTTTTTAGCTTGTCTGATGGACCACAAAAAAGTTTTAAGCGAATTTTTTGTATCGTCAATATTCTAAAAGTTACATTCGTATAAATTCAACATTTTTGTATTATTAACTTTTTGTGAGTGAAATATTAATGTTAGCACAAAAAGTCAATAGAGAATTATAAAAAAAATTGAATTTTCGGAAAAATTGTCCTAATAAAATTTGATATACTGTCAACCATTAAAATTTACAAACTTATTTAAGCTTATTTCGATGGTTTTTTACGTAAATCAGATAAACAATTGACAATAGATACAAAATATTATAAAAATTTTATGTCTTATTCCATTGTTTACAGTGAATTATCGCTTAAAATACTAATAATAATATCTTACTAACTATTATTGTACAAAAAATTATATTAAAAATATTACATTAATATTCATTAATAATACAAAAATGATGACTTTATACGCCTGTAACTTTTAGAATATTGACGATACAAAAAATTCGTCTAAAACTTTTTTGTGGTCCATCAGACAAGCTAAAAAATTGCCATTTAACTTTTTCGTCTAACTTCAATAGTTTAGCTGAAAAAGGCAAAAAACATAACATTTTAAATTTAAAGCTCTGTAAAAAATCAAATAATGAAAATAGAAATTTGGCTTAATAAGATTTTTTCGTCCAAATTTAATGCTTTGTAAGATTTGGTCATGAATTTTATGAACAAAAAATTTCTTCCTAGGTTGCAAGAATAAATAAGGTAAAAAAGTCAGTTTTCTGTGCTATTTAAGCGGCAAAACTTCAGATTCGATGGAGGACCTCTTAAAATTGAAATTATGAGCTCCGCTTTTAACAGGATATTTGTTCGGACATATTCTACGACATTTTGGGTTGAGAGCAAGAAAAAAGAAATATCGAGTTTTTTTTGGCACACCCTAATATATATATATATATATATATATATATATATAATTATAAATCGAAGTGTTAAATAAAACGAAAGTTATGTTAATACAGCACCGAATATGTTTTTTTTGCGACCCGGTAGAATATTCTTAATAAATAAAATAAAATTTTAAGAGATAATTATTATAACCATAAAATTATGATTATATTCAGCGTCGGAAATTTATTTTTTTCTTGATATCAGTGTATGGATAGTAAATAAAATAAAATGAAAAAAATGCTTAAGTAAATTTTTCTAAAAATTTTACATTTTTTCCGTTTTATCCGAAAAAAGGTTTTTTTCGGCGGCTCAATTTTTACGAAAATTTTAAAACCCTAGTCCCTACTCAATGATACTATTTAAATGAAAAATATTTTTCAAAAATATAAACAATTACAGATGTTATTAAAAAATAAACAATTAATATTGATTTTAAAAACTAGTCCTACTCAATGATACTATATAAATTTTACAAAAAAGTGTTTTTGACGATTTTTTTTAGAAAACTCCTATCTTGAAAATAAACTATTTGGTGAAATTTTACTATTTTTGAAAAATATAAACAATTAATATTGATTTTAAAAACTAGTCCTACTCAATGATACTATTTAAATTTCACAAAAAAGCTTTATTTTTAAGATAGAAGTTTTCGAAAAAAATCGCCAAAACAATATTTTTTAATTGTTTATATTTTTCGAAAATATTTTTGACGCTTTTTTTAGAAAACTTTTATCTTGAAAATAAAAGTATTTGGTAAAATTTAACTATTTTTAAAAAATAGTGTTTTGACGATTTTTTTTAGAAAATGTCATAAAGCTATTTGGCGAAATTGTACTATTTTTGAAAAATATAAACAATTACAGGAGTTATTAACAAATAGTATTTTGACGATTTTTTTTAGAAAACTTATATTTTGAAAGTAAAGCTATTTGGTGAAATTTTACTCTAAATGAAAGTTCAAAACCAAATTTTCATTTATGTAATTTAATTAAATATTTTTCAAAAATAATTTAGAAATATTTTGGTATCATTAAGTAGAGAAAACCCAATAATTGTTTTCTGTATTCTATGTGTACAGTGTACAGATAGTATCTGTAAAAATTTGGAATTTTCAGAAAAATTGACTTCTGCATTTTTTCGTACCCTTTGAATAAAAAATGCAAAAGTAATTTTTTTGAAAATTTTACAATGGTTATTTTCCCCGGCTCAATTTTTCCGGAAATTTTAAAACCCTGATACTACTTAAATTTCACCAAATAGCTTTATTTTAAAGATAGAAGTTTTCTAAAAAAAATCGTCAAAACACTATTATTTTAATAACTTCCGTAATTGCTTATATTTTTCAAAAATATTTATTAAAAAAGTTTATCTTAAAAATAAAGCTATTTGGTAAAACTATAATATTTTTGAAAAATATAAACAATTACACAATCACATGTTTTCAGTTTTTTTAATGATAAAAACGATTTTTTCCCTCGGCTCAATTTTTCCGGAAATTTTAAAACCCTAGTTCTTACTCAATGATAGGGTTTTTCGAGAAAATATCCTTAAAACCCTTTTATTTAATAATAAAAATTTTCGAAAAAAAATTTTCATAGGAAAATTTATTTTTAAGTAAATAAAAAATATGTTGTGAAAGACCGTATTTTTGTTAGTATAACCTAAAAATTTTGTACAAATCAAACGAACAGTAACGAAAATAGTCAAGTCGTCAAAATAACCACTTTTCACCAAAATAATAAAAAGGGGTCATTTTTACCGACTTTGAAGCGCTGTATCTTCGTTACTGTTCGTTTGATTTGTACAAAATTTCCAGGGTATACTAAAAAAAATGCGGTCTTTAACATCATATTTTTTATTTTTTTTAAAAAAATTCCCCTATACTAAAGTTATTTTTCGAACGTTTTTTTTAATTATTAAATAAAAGAGCTTTAAAAATATTTTCTCAAAAAACCCTCGAACACGTAAACTGACATATAAGTTGTATTTTTATACAAAATTTCATAAAAATTGGTAAAGGCGTTTTTTTACTGATTATGCGTTAATTTTGACGGGCAGTGTATTTAATTTTCACCAAATAGGTTTATTTTCAAGATAAAAGTTTTCTAAAGAAATCTTCAAAACACTATTTTTTTAATAACTCCTGTAATTGATGAAAAAATTTTTGAAAAATATAAAAAGTTATTAAAAAATAGTATTTTTGACGATTTTGGTGAAATTTTACTTTAAATGAAAATTCAAAACCAAATTTTCATTTATGTTCATATTTTTCAAAAATAATTTAGGAATATTTTGGTACAGAAAAACCAATAATTGAGGTGTTTCTCGGAAAAACATCATTAGTCCAATATCGTCGAAATTTAGATATTAGCACCAACTGTTTCCTAACCTCCATATATACGTATACAAATAAGTGTTTCTCGTAAAAATGTCATAGGTTCCATAATAATTAAATATGAAATTTAGCTTGTTCTTCTAAAAACATCACAAGTCCACTCCGTTTCGTCTAAGAAAGTCACATGTGCACAACATGTGACGTTTTGGGACACTCTAGAAAAGCTTCTACCTCTTTTACATTACCACAGCAATAGAAAATTGTATGATAACTTGATAAAAGAGTAGAAGACCATGGCACCTTACAGTCCTGATAACACGGTCGACAACGATGATAACAGCAGTGGATGCGAAGACTGAGTGTGGCAGTAATACAGTTTTTAGTTTTTTCATTTATTTTGTTACTCAGAGTTAGTATTTAGTTTGTAGTGTTTGTAGTAAGGAGAATTGTTTGTTTTTTTCTTCTAAAAACCTCACATGTTCATGTATTTTTTGTTTTTTTCATATTCGTTTGAAAAAAAAAACATGAGGAATTCTGGACAAAGTATTTTTTTTCATGTAGTAAATAGGTCAATAAAGTACTTTGGTCAAAAATGGGAATGTCGGAGAGTTTTTTCATTTTCCCAAATATGTTAATTTTGGACTAATGATGTTTTTCCGAGAAACGCGTCAATTGTTTTCTGTATTCCATGAAGTCTGAAAAAAAGTGTACGGTTCACATATTCTCTCCCTGCAGGTTTCTATTTCTATAAAAATGGCATTTACCGGTGAATTTATTCCAGCACAGGCTAGATGATCTAGCACAACAAAACTACCAACAACAAACATTCCTACAGCCAATATAATGAACAAAAAAACACTTCTGCAACATCAGGTCACTCACCCGAATCCCATCTTCAACGACGAGCCCAAACTGGCCAGGCTGGAGGCCACGGTGGCCGCCGGCACCGTCTCCGACCTGTGGATCTTGCTCTGCGCGTGCGCGCTGCCCTCGAACGTGGCCGAACGCTGCACCGAAGACTTGAACAGCACCGGGTCGTCCGAAAGGGCCGGCGGGCAGGTCGGCGCGCTCGGCTCCGGGCCTTTGGCGGGCCGCCGCGCGGTCGCCGCTTCCGCTTCCGGTTGCTCGAAGGCGCCGAGCGGATCGTTCTCGGTCACCACCTCTCTGGGCGACATTCTTCGAGAGAAATTTTACGTCAACGAACAAAATTTAAATCCTGTGGCACGCCGTTTTAGCATTTATTAGATACCGTAAACACGGGTGACTTTGCACCCAGCGGGTGACTTTAACCCATTTATGAAAAATCTTTTCGCGCTCGATAAAATTAACATTTATAATTTGTTGGTCTAAACCTGTCAATTGAGCGATTCTATCGAGTTTATATTACAGAAAAATCAGTGTTTTAAAGAAAGAAATTGGATTTATTTCACTTTAAAATTGTATATATCGCATCAGTGCAAAACTCTTAGAAATACACGCGTTACAATTTCTATATTATGCGCAATCCTTTGGAATGATGATCCTTGGTTAACTACAGGTCGATTTTTTATTTTTTTTATCGGTAATCCCTTGCAATAGATATATGTCGCTGCTAACACGTGTCTAATAAAAATAAAATATAATATTGAATTCATTTTATACGGAAAATACACTGTGAGACAAAGTAACCCGCAACCAGGGGGTAACTTTGAACACCCAGTTTTAAAATTTTATTTTTAAAACTCAGCCCTATGTAATATTATAACATAGTTATTATGAAAGAGCAACTCAAGACTCAAATTTTGGTATACAAAATTGAATGTTTATGATTGTTAAAACCACAAAAATTTTAAGCTTAAGTTTGAAAGTAAGCTAAAGCCACCCGTGTTTACGGTAATAGTTTTAATGATGTTTTAACAGAAATTGCAAAATTTTTTTAAACTTAAAACAATTGATAGACAAAAAATACTTTAAATATAAAATATAACTGTAAAACTTCAAGCTAAAAAATATTAATTTTTAAAAACTTTTGTTCAAATATTTTATTCTACAAAATTTTCGATTTAAATTGAATGGTGCTATGCAACAGGGAACCATCCCTCATAATAAAAAAGCGAGATAAATGTATTAACGTGATGAAAATATTTTAAAGAAATAAAACATGCGGAAAAATACTGAATTAAAATATTCAAAATAATATAGAACTCTGCAATCAAAGTTTTTAAATCTCAACAAAGCTTTAAGCTGCATGGTTGTGCCAACTTTCCCTTATATATTGAAATTGTGAAAGGTTATACAGCACCAAGCGGCTTGGTTAACGTTACTTTTGATTAAACGCAATATATTTATACTGCAACAAGGATCCATGCTACTTGGATCTGGTTTAAGTTGAAAAAATAATGTTGGAAAAAAATTAACCAATGGTTTTATATGACAAAATCAATATTTCCAAAAAAAAAGAGAAGATCAGGAGGATCTCAGAGCTAAAATTAAAAGATTTAAAATCTATTTATCACCTTATTCCAAATGATGGTTTCCATGTTATAATAAAACAATAGGCAATAACTATCAGTTCTATTTATTCTACAAGGGACCAACCAACAAATTTACTTATTTTATTGAAAATAATGAAAAAAATATTATAAGAAATAAAAATGTAGTACTAAAATAGCTGTTTGGAAATAAAATTAAAACGTTGAATCTATAATTAAGACCACAGAAATGAAGAAACCACGTAATTTTTCGGACGCTATTATCTTAGAGATAATTTTTGTATTAAAAATTTATCGACTTTCATTTAATCGACTCTTTACAAATTTAAACCAATGTAGAACAAAATATTAAAGGTACAATTTTTAAACTTGAACTTTTACATTGGCATTTTATATTTAAAATATTCTTTGTTCATTAATAATTTTAAGTATAAAAAAATTTTACTTTTTAAACTATTTTGGTAGAAAAAGTTTTATATGTGTTTTTATTTTAAATGTCTCCACACTATTTTGAAATAAAAAAAAATTTAACTTTATCAATTTAATCTAAAAAAATTATTAAATATTTATTTAAGATTTACAAATTCTGCCCAAATAAATTATACTTACTTCAGTGCGCGTCAACCTTAACGCATAACAAGTAAAAAAAATCCAACTCTAAAACGCATTTATCAATCTTAAAATTTTGTATAAAAATATTTCAACTTATATCTCAGTTTACGTGTACAAGGGGTTTTTCGAGAAAATATCCTTAAAGCCCTTTTATTTATTAATAAAAAAATGCTCGAAAAAAAACTTTTATAAGGAAATTTGTTTTTAAGTAAATAAAAGATATGTTGTGAAAGACCGTATTTTGTTAGTATACCCTGAACATTTTGTACAAAACAAACGAACAGTAACGAAAATTCAGCGCTTTAAAGTCCTCAAACATGACCACTTTTTAGCAAAATAATAAAAAAAAAGGGGTCATTTTTACCGACTTCTTCGTTACTGTTCGTTTTATTTGTACAAAATTTTCAAGGTATACTAACGAAAATACGGTCTTTATTAAAGACTCTTTAACAGCATATTTTTTATTTACTTAAAAAAAATTCCCTTAAAGTTATTTTTTGAACGTTTTTTAATTATTAAATAAAAGAGCTTTAAGTTTAAGTATTTTTATACAAAATTCCATAAAGATTAGTAAAGGCGTTTTATTGACGGGCAGTGTAATTATTTTTTATTAAAAAATGATTTTTGCAAAATTTGATTGGAAATAATATTGTTTAAACCAGAAGTGAAATGTTAGTAAATTTTGTCCCTTAACAATTATTGTTATTATAGTTGAAAATATTTTAAATATATTAGAGAAGGTCTTCATTATTTAAAGAACTCCTTTGGCATTCTAACACAAATTTTAGTAAGTTTTACACTTTATAATGCATAAGAGAAACTTACTTTCCGGGAGAATTCTTGCCGCCGTCCTCCTTGCAGTCTTCCTCGCTGAACTGCAACGTCCTCGCGCAGGGTTTCCTGCTCTGCAGCTTGTCCAGGAGACTGGCGTCGTTGCCGCTCTCGGACCGCGACAAAATCCTGTACTCGGACGGGCTGTCGGGCACGAAGGCGGCCGCTTCGCCGGCTTCGGCCTCGTTCGGCTCCTCGGCCGAGGTCGCGTCCTGCGCGGGCGCGTCCGTCGCGTCCTTGTCGGCGTGCTCGAGGCCGTTCAAGCTGCCGCGCACTATGCTCGCCACCTAATCAGTTAGATTAGAGTGAATTTGTGTTACAGTTCGTTTTTTTTTTATCTGGACTCGTGTTTTTTTGTTAGGTTGGTGGCTTATGCCAGTTTGACTTAGTATTTTTAGTATTCAAAAATGCTACTTCTGCTAAAGAATTAAATACATTTATTATTGAAAATTTACTTGTCAATTATAAATAAAAAGATCATTATCCAAAAATAATAGCAACGAATCCGAATGTAAAAGCCCTTTGAGGGCAAAACTTCATTTTGATGAAATTATGCCAAATGCCACAATGGAAGAAAAAGTACATCGCCTTATGGACCTTTTTGGAGTAAAAAAGTAACGAATTTGGTTTTAAAGGGTGGGCCATCTATAAGTTGAATTTTAACTACGTGCTATTAATGAAGCTTTCAACTTAAGCGCCATGAATTGTTGACAGTGGTTTAGTTTTAACCTTCCGATTACAAAATATGCACAGAATAAATTTGGATCAACGTTTCGAAATACTCAAAACTTTGAACTTTGAATGTGACTGTGATCGCAGAGACGGTAAGAAAATTGCGTTTGGAAGAAATGAGGTTCCGTCAAACCAAAGTATTACAAATTTGATCAAAAAAATTGCGCAGAAATGGAATGCTGGTGGACATAAAATATGTTTCGCATGCTCGTTCTAGACGTACACCTAGGGTTGGGAAAATTTCACTTTTTGCTTCTACTTGAAATTTCGCTTGAAAATTTCATGACATTTATGAAATTTATTAAAATTTCCTAAATTTCTGAAATTTCATGAAATTTATGAAATTTATTGAAACTTTCAATAAATTTCAATCACTTTAAGTTTAATATATTAATATTGAAATAAGCCCACTCGGGGACCATGGTAAATTGCCTCTCTTACCTCCTACCCCTCTGTGGGCCCCTGCACCTATGTTTACCACAACCTTCTTGAGATTTCATTTTAAAATATTTTTAAAATTACTAAAACTAAAAGAGATATAGCACTTTTTGGTAATGAGATTGTGCCACTTTCATTGTTTTATATTTATATATATTTATTATTTTTAAATATTTTACTGAAAATTTACGAAAATTGAAGAAACTTCATCAAAATTTTATGAGCCAAAGGCATTTTTTATCCGTTTTCCGATGCAATTATAGCAAAAGTAAAAGTTTATATTAATCATGACTTTTAAAAAAATTTAAAGTCTGATTTAATTTACAAATTAAATTGGTAACTGAATTAAATTATTTAAATTAATTTATGCATATAAGTAACAATAATTACTTATAGTGTATTGAAATCCATGCCGAACTAAACAAAAACGCCCAGACGCTTGATAACTCGTTCTTATTGGTCGATTCGGAATCTGGTGTAAATTATTATTAAAGGTCCCAGGGGAGGCCGCATGTGAAATTTATGCAAAATTTTCAGAAAATTGCAAAACTTTCAATGAAATTTCTGAAACTTTCACAGGCAATGTTGAAATTTTCGGATTGAAAATTTTATTTGAAATTTTTAAAAATTTCACTTATTCAACTAAATGAAATCTTTCAAGTTTGAAACTTTCAAAGTTGAAATTTTCACTTGAAAATTTCAACTGTCCCAACCCTACGTACACCTGAAGCAATCGCTGCTGTGGCCGAAAATGTACGCATGAACGCGTCAACATCAACTCGGGGCAAATGTCAACAACTCGGCCTTTCCCGTACCACTCTGAGGATGATTCTGCACAAAGACCTCGGTATGTTTGCGTACAAAGTCCAGCTTGTTCAGGAGTTAAAGCAAGTTGACCATCCACAAGGTTTTCGCTTTGCTTATTGGGCTTTAAACCAGTTGAACGATGACCCTAATTTTGCAAGAAAAATAATCTTTTCGGATAAGGCTCATTTTTACCTCGGAGGTTATGTCAACAAGCAAAATTGTAGGATTTGGGCCACGGAAAATCCACAAGTCGCCGTAACAAAGCCTATTCACCATTTAAAACAAAACATTCAAGCTCAAATTGCCTAAATAGAGCAGCAAACTTTTGACAAAGTGCTCGAAAATTGGTGTTCCAGGATGGGCTACTGCCGAGCCAGCTGAGGTGGCCACTTAAATAAAATCATTTTCCATACTTAATCGGAAGAAACATTGTATCAAATAAAGCAAAATTCGTTGAAAAAAAATTAGTTTTTCTTGTTCTCATTGCATTCAACATAAACATGGCCCACCCTTTATAAATATTACATCACACATTATTTTCACATTATTCACCATTGGACACCAAATAAGTTCACAAAAAATATTTAATTTCTTTTATAGAAATTCTTTTCAAAGTGAAGATTATTATCCGCTAGGAATACTTTCTCTTCTGGGCCGTAAAGCAACCTATATTTAACTACTTTTTTTTACTCATCCAAGCACCATCAAATTAATTGCATTTTTAACTACGAATTTCGACAACTCAACTTGACAACTGCACAATGTAACCTACAATAATTTATACATAACCACAATTAGATTTATAACTAGCTTAGTTTGTTTTAATCAATGCGACCAACTTGACAACTGTATTTACCAACCAAAACCCTAAATTTACAACGTTGCCGCAGTCCAGATAAAAAAAATGTCGAAATTCGTAGTTAAAAATGCAATTAATTTGTCTTTGGTGGTGCTTGGATGAGTAAAATCATATAAAAAAAGTATTTAAATATAGGTTGCTTTACGGCCCAGAAGAGAAAGTATTCTTAGCGGATAATAATTTTCGCTCTGAAAAGAATTTATATAAAAAACGTAAATGTTGTCCAATGGTGAATAATGTGAAAAGAATGTGTGATGCACAGGTCTGTGGTGTGATGTAATATTTATAAAACCAAATTCGTTACTCTTTTACTCCAAAAATGTCCATAAGGCGATATACTTTTTCTTCCATTGTGGCATTTGGAATAATTTCATCAAAATGAAGTTTTGCCCTCAAAGGGGCTTTTACATTCGAATACGTTGCTATTATTTTTGGATAATGATCTTTTTATTTATAATTGACAAGTAAATTTTCAATAATAAATGTATTTAATTCTAATTATCTTTTTATTTATAATTGATAACTAAATTATCAATAATAAATATTATTGTCAATTTGACAGTGTCAAAGTATTTAATTAAATTCTTTAGCAGAAGTAGCATTTTTAAATACTAAAAATACTAAGTCAAACTGGCATAAGCCACCAACCTAACAAAAAAAACACGAGTCCAGATAAAAAAAATGTACTGTTCCTATATTTAATTTGGTCGAATTTTACTTTAGGTAGTTGGCATCACAGTTATTGGTTTGAAGGGTTAATGTCAAAATCTATTCGCCATGGCGTCCTTAATTTACTTATTTCCAATAAGGGGCTGTTAATGTTAAAGACGAAAAAAAGGTTTTCTTTGGTGTTAATTTTTACTAGAAAAATCATAAAAATATTATAACCAATATGCAAAATATTATTTAATTTTATTTACAAAATTAAAATCCCACTGCTAAAATGGATTATAAAATTAAACGTATTATTTTACTAGTATGCTGTTTAAAGTAGCCAACCTATAAAATTAATATTTTAAATTACAGCACCGAAAGCGGTGTAACAATGAAGTCATTATGAACGCAAAATAGATAAAATTATTTTATCTTTCTTCGTCAGATGTACTATGCTCCACACCTCAAAGTCCCACCACGTGACTACGTACGGAACGCAGTCTTTTGAAAATTTGGCAGGTTATGTATCTGTCAAAGTATAGTCAACGAAAGAAATAATATTATGTTTGGTTGGTTTAAGAATTTAAGAATATAAATACTGCATTTAATGAAATTCTAAAGTGTATGATGCCAAATAAGTAATATTTTTGTGCATTTGGTCCAAATATCTAGTTTTCTCCATAAAATAATTTTAACCAAACAGCATTTATTAAAAAAAATCTAGCTTCTCTATTATGGAATAAGAATATCTGTTTTAAAGGTAGATTAATATATTATAACAAAAATATCATCTAATTTTGTAATTTTAAGGTTGGAAAAATTTATTTTGACCAAAATAAATAAGAATTTTGGATTATTTAAAAGACTGTATAATATGGTATTTAAATGTGGTAGTTTTTTTTTATCCAGCTTAAAATGTCCTACATAAAGTTTTGTCAATACAAATAGTTAAAAAGCTTCGACTGAACTTGATCTACATCAAAAAATCATTATAACTTTAAAAATTTTAATAAATCACATGTCATGGGTGTATTAAATATTTTCACATTGCAAGTTTCTCTAAAAATTGTTTGTTTTATTATAATCTAACTTAAAGTAGGTATGCCGAGAGGTATGCACAAGTTTTGTCATTAGAAGTATAAAAGCTTCAATTTAATTTGAATCATATTCAACAATTATTTAGTATACCTATATTTATTTATGACCATATTAACACACTCTTTCAAATAATCCACTTATTTATTTTGGTCAAAATAGATTTTTCTAACCTTAAAATACAAAATTAGGTGTTCTAACATATTAATCATTCTAATACATTAACCTACCTTTGATACAGATATTCTTATTTCATAATAGAGAAGTTAGATTTTTTTTAATAAATGCTGTTTAGTTAAAACTATTTTATGGAGAAATGTAGACCCAATGCACAAAAATATCACTTAAATTGCACCTTACACTTTGGAATTTCATTAAATGCAGTATTTATATTACTAAATTCTTAAACCAACCATTGTTATTGTGATACTATGAAGATTTATTAACTTTTAACGCCTAAACATAAGCGGTAAATATTATTCCTTTTATTGACTATACTTTGACAGATACACAACCTGAAAAGCCTTAAATGCCAAATTTTCAAAAGACTGCGTTCCTTACGTGGACACGTGGTGGGACTTTGAGGTGTGGAGCATAGTACAAAGTTAAAACTTGACGGATCGATGAAATGTGATAATTTTCTAAATATAATTGGACGAATAAAAGCGCTCCCGGATGATCGGACAAAAGGATACATGAAAATTAAGCTTTAAAAATGTAAAGTAAAAAGTAGACACCGAGAAGTTAGCCTAAGAGAATCCTAAAAAGCTTCAACTACCTTTCTTCCCAGCTTGTCCATGAAACTGTTCGCTTGGATGGTCTCGTGCGAGTCCAGCGAGGATCGCGAGGCGGTTCTGTCCCCGGGATCCAGTAGGCTCGAGCCGCCTTCCGTGGAAGCGGACAACCTCCTGGCGGCGTGCCGCCTGGCGGCCCACCTGAAATGCGCCGCTCCCATCACGACGTTTCTCAATTTTTTCCACAGCAGCTGACTGGAACTCGAGTGGGCTGGCCATTCGGCGTCCAACACGCAGCGGTTATACAATCTGAAAAAGCAGATATTTCATAGTTATTAATAGTACAGTTGTATTCATTAAAAAAGCGTACAAGAATTAGAATGAGAGAAAACTGTCAACATTATTGCGTAAAAACGGCTTTCCACTGACTTAAGTCACTATAACTGACAGTAGAAAATTAAAATGCCTCGTCAGTTAAAAAGGCTCAAATAGTTTCAAGAATCGAAGAAGAATGGTCAATTCGTACTGTGGTATAATAGAAATAAAAAATCTATATTAAAAATTAAGCAACGCTGGGAACAGGAAGATTTACTAAACCAAAAAGTTGGTTCAGGTCGTCCCAAAATGTCCACCCCTGAACAGGATGCTGCTTTTTTGGGATACCTGAGGATTTATGGGAAACTATACAACTATACTATACCTATACTATACTGCTGGGAAGATATTAATCCAAATATTGTATTAAATTTAATTCAGTTCATCCTAAATAGATTGGCTCAAGTAATAGAAAAACAGGGATGCATGACTAAATATTAAATTTTTTTTAATGTTTGTTTTTTTCATTTCTAAACGGTAATTTTTGTAATTTTATTTAATTAACCTACGACGTCAATGCTCTTTATAACCTATAGTAATTATTTTAATGACGTGTCAGTGATAAACCGGTTTTAAGCAATAATATTAATTTGACAGTTTTCTCTCCTAATTCTGTACGCTTTTTTATTGAATACAACTGTATATACGAATTTAATTTAGGCACGAGCTTGCGAGCGAGTGCTTAATTAAATAAGTGCCTAGAAAAGTTTATAAACGAGTTGCATACTATACTTTTTCTACGACAAATACTTAAAATTATCTAAACAATTATTTAAATTTAATATATTTGTATAAAGCGACATCTATACGAAAATAAAGTAACCATCCCAATAAACATTTTGATGTAATTTTCACCATTGACATTGCCCGTTATTATTTTATTAATCTTAACAATTATTGCTACTTTAAAATGAGGCCTGTCAGAGCAAAGTCAACAATCTACCGTCAGACTAAAACTGAGTAAATTGAGATAATTGATTTTGGTCTTTTAAATTCTAGATTTTCATTTTTTTTTATATATTATATTGAAATATTGTTGTTGTTAGTCTAGTAGCAAACTACAAGGTCTCCAGGATGCATAGTATAGGTGAAATCTATAATTATAAATTGGAGATTGCTGACTTTGATATGAATTGCTGGAGATTGCTCATTTTGTTGTAAACGTTTAAGGAGATTTAGAAAAATAAACAAAAAATAATTGTATTTTTTTCCTTTAATGGTTATAAAATTTAACTATACAATCAATGTGGGAAAATTCTGAACTGGACCACATAAATCTGGAGTTTCTTCTAAATCTGGGACCAGGTTGCCTCATGCAAAAAAGTTTTTATAGTACAACAACCCACTTTGCCCCGTAATGTTTTACTTGCAATGTTTTGACATTATCAGCCTTTTCTTGCTTTACCTTTACGTCCTATTATGGTATAATAGCACAAAATAAACAAGATAACTTTTTTTATAATTCTTAAAACAATAAATATATTTTTAAGTGCAATTTACTGCAATAGAACTTAGTAAAAAAACACAAAATTAAATCTCTAAAATACGTTATAAAATGAAATGTTAGGATATCAGGTGACACAAATTACTAATTTCTAATGGTGGAATTGGAGATTGAATACTTTGCTGCAAATCTATCAGTGGAGATTGTCGACTTTGCACTAAATGTCATTTTTAAAATAGGATTTTAGGCAGGATTTAGCTCCTTTTGCAGCACATAAACTTTATCATCTTATAGATAATTAGTTGAAGTACAGTCTCCGCCAAAAATCTAATTTTTAAAGTGGAGATTGCCGGTTTTGCTATGACAGCCCTATTAAAAATGCCCTATAGAACCCATATTGGTCCAGATAAGGAAACTAATATGGATTTATATGGTTCTATATATCCTATATGGAACGACCTGGTTTACACTTTGGAATCTATATGGTTTAATATGGAATTTCATTTTAAAATGTACAACTTAGGGATTTTTATATGGATTTATCTGGTTTCTGTTTTATGTGTTTTTCCATATAGGTTTCCCTATATGGTTGAATATGGAATTCCATTTTAAAATGTATATATATTTAAACGAAAATAGACCTATCCCATAAAACAGACTTTTGGATAGCGCGTGCCTGAAGAGTTTATATAATTAAAAAAAGACGACGCGCTATCCAAAAGTCCGTTTTATGGAATAGGTCTATTGCAAATATGGTATGGGCGAGACGTTTCGAAACGTCAAATTTTACGCTCTGTTAAAAGTGCTGTAGATTTCTTCGACTATACATGGAGCGAGTTGCTGAAGGTACGTATGATAAAATTCTAATACCGAGATTTACGTTATTCATGCATGATGTATTATAATAGTGAAAAAAGTAAATGAAAAAAATGTTTTTAAAAAATTCGTTGCTCCGCCCCGATATAATTTCTATCAAAATACAAAGTTAACAAGTTACTTAACATAATATTAAAAATTTGGTTGCGACCAATTGCGATTTTTGTTTTAAGGACTCTTACAAAATAGGTAAGCGTGGATCGTGGGCGTTAGGCGCATTAGCAGCCTTTTATAACCTTGAATTTATATAACTTGACCCAGGGCCATATTACCCATTAGGCGGGCAAGGCAATTGCCTTAGGCGCCACGAAGAAATAGGCGCATTGTCCCCAACCCACTAAAAATAAAAATTCTCAAAAATAAAAAAAAATAACATTATACAGTTATGAAAATAATATATTCTTTACTGTTTTTATTATTTCATAAAAATGTGGCGTGCTTTGTAATAACGCGGTGTAAAACCGACAAAAGACAAAAGCTTGCCGCAAATTCACTTTTTCAAGGTGTTTTTTAATATTTGGTAGTTTTTGGTTTAGTTTACCCTTTTTTAACTACTTTTTAACTACAAAGGGTCGGTTTATCAATATCTGGTTTAGTTCCAGTTAGTCTATCTGACAGTTAAATTCCATATCGATCGTTGTGAGAACAATGGTATCCATGGAGATTATCTGCCAGATAACTAACTGCAACTTTAACTGGACATTGATAAACCGGCCCTAAGTCAACTTAAACTTTACCTAATTAACCAGTTTAAGTTTATTTTAACTATATAATTATTATTTACCAAATATGGTTATGTACTCTTGAAATGAAATAGTCAAAATTCTATTATTTGAATTAGTATACTATTATTCTATTATTTGAATTAGTATTAGCATTGTTTACTACTAAATAGTTATTTTAAATAGTTATTTTTTACTACTTAAATGGTTAAAGTTTAAATAATTTAAGATCTTTTACTGTTTCTAAGAGGAATAAGTAACTAATTTCTTTAATCGTTTTTAATTCTTGCGGCCAACAACAAATTATTGTTAGCGTTAAATGCATATAGGCTCCATGGTTAAATGGCCCATAAAAACAAACAGAGATGCAAAAAGTTTAGCTCCAAACAGCAACACAAAGAATATATTCAACTTTTATATATTATTAACAATATTGATTGACAGATATAACAAAGTTTTAAAAAAGTAGCAGTGGTGCAGCTTTTGGACATCCGTTTGACAAGTTAGAGAGCCGATTTCAAACCTCAGCTGGGTCAAAACTTCACAAATTTACTAATTTGACTGTTTCAGTCGGTATAATTTGACTAATTACACAGTACGACAAAATTTGATTTTTGGTCCCTCCCATGAAAAATTTCTACAGATTCTAAAAATAGAGTTAAAAAAATGATACCCGTGTCTCGGCGTTTTTTCACATCACGTCATAATTTTTTTTTAAGGGCTATCCAATAAAATGTTATTCACACTATTCGCGACATAATTTAATAGACTCGATAACAGCTGGACTGCATAGTTAAAAATATATACATATATTTACTAAATGGATAGGCAACCATTATAGATGCATTTTAAAATTATTTTAATCTTATACAGAGTTTTGCACATTTATATATATATCAAACGGTTTATTTTTAAACCAAGTAACAAAATGTTTCAATTTTAAGCCAATCAAAATGCTTTAAAGTCGGGTGATTAAAATTTTTATTTATTCAAATTTTTGTAAAAATTGAGCTTTGTTGAATTAACATTTTTTAAAAAAATTAAAAGATATTTAAATGAATTGATTTAAGTCTTAAAGCAAGTGTACCTAAAATATATTTAATTTAAGTAAAAAAAAAATTTAAGTATACGAAGTCAATTGAAACAGCAAAAAAACAAAAAATTTACACATCTGCGGCATTTATACATAAAAAGCATTGTTTTCAAAACAATCTTTATACGAGGGTAATACTTTTTTTTTTAAATGTTAAATAAAAACATTATTGCAGCGATAAATCGATACATTTTTCATATTAATTTTGATTGTTGAGTTAACCATCCATTTGAAATCAAAGTAAAAATGCAGTGTCCGAATCTAAATAATTTTTGTTATGTATGTGGTTTATTTGCACCTCCAAGCCATATGCGAAATATTACAAAAAGGGTAGTAACAGCTTTTGAAGACTATTTTTTGTTGACGTATATACCAAACTTATGGTATGTACCAGAGGTTTTATGCGATTATTGTTACCGTTGTTTGCATGGATTGCAAGATAAAACACACAGTATGAAATATGTTGCACCAACAATTTGGCTTCGACCCGTCGCGACGTACCGAACACGCATCTGACCAGTGTTATTTCTGCATGTCAAAATTAAAAAGTTTTGGATTTCGGTACAATACTAGAGAGAAAATTGATTACGCCGATGTAGAATCCGTCATTCTCGCAAGAGTGCGATCTGAAGATTATCCAACTGCTCCTTCAGAAAACATATGTGAGGATAAAAGTAAAAGACCTTTAACACCCAGTACAACCATTTTTTCCGAGATGGAATCTGAATTTATTCCCTGTAGTTCGGGTTATAAAGTACATTTTATAACACAGGACATGAAAGTACATATGTCACTGAAA